AAAATATCGATGGGTTTTACCACAGATTTTTTTTTCCCATTTTGCCCCGTTCTTTATATATGAAGAGAATAAAAAGGTGATGCATAAATTTGTTGAATTTGTTGTAGATTTAGTTCTTCGGCTGAAACTTGTCTTGTGTAAATTAAGACATCTAAAGTGAGAAATGTAATAGCTATCAGGCATCTATAGTGTCAAATATTATTATTTATTTTTTTGACATTCATCTTTGTGACTTTCCTATGATATAAATTTGCACTGGCATTTTTCTTTCGCATTGAATTGGTGTTGTTTAATTGATTGATTTTTCTCGTATTAACCATATGTTTATTCCTGAATGCTAATCAAGTCTCCCTCCGGGGGAAGGATCAACATGGCCACACAAGCTTTACTCGTCGTAGATGCGCACAGTGCTGGTACATTGTTCATCTTATTCTTCGTCAAAAGGAAAGCAGAATGTACGCGCTATAGATCCGTGCTCGTCTATTGCGCAGTCTAATGACGACGACCCAAGAGTAATATTCGAGATCAAAGCTAAGCGCCACATCCGAAAGAAGTTCATCAGGCGGGTTCCTTGATCCCCATCCCCATCAAGGAACTTCTCGAAGAATGCGGCCACATCAACAAGAAATTGTAGAAGCCGGCCATCCGGGCTAGCGTCGAGATGACCTGCAGTGTCCTGGAGTACTCTTGCGAGTTCATGAAGAAGAACGCATTGAGCAAGTTGGGAGTTGGAGCTGGCTTTTACGTCGTGGTCGCCGACTTTGTCCTATTCAGAACTGATTCTTCATGGTTTTTTTTTCTTTTTTTTGGTTATTGTTGCTCTTCTGCCCCACCACCCGCCGGTGACCGGCCACAGGCCAGGGCCGACGAGGGCATTGCAGCCCTCGCCGGTCACCGGCCTTGCCGGCGAGGGCCACGACGCCCTCGTCGGCCCTGGCCCAGTCAAGACGAGGCCAACCTCGCCTTGGCTGGGTCAAACGTTGGATGAGGATGACTCCATAATATCCATCTTAAATTGGTAAGACTATTAGCTAAGTTACCCATGAAGGTTCCCCCATTTAATTTGAGGTACTTTAGACATTCAAACCTTTCAATCTCTTCACTTCTAATAACAACCTCAGGATAACTTTTGCGTAGGTCAAGATCCAGTGCTTCAACGTTCTTCTTCATCTGTAACAGAGAGCAAAAAATGAGTGGCATTCAATATTCTATTGGAGAGGAAATGGATTAAAATGGGAAAAGAAGAAAGAAAAAAAGAGCATCCTCGCGGAACGTAAAGGATTTTCTAGAAGAGAAACTATTAGTTGTCTCTAGAATTGTTTTACCTCATTTGTTCCCATTGCACCAAGGATCTCCTTGCAATTCCATAATCTACTCTGCTCTCCAGGATTTGTTAGATTTTCTCGACGAACAATTTCTCTTTCAAAATCTCTGAATTCATCGTTCATCCAAAACTTATTGTTCTCCACAAATACCAAAGAGGTGCTTGAGTATTTGACAAGAAGTGACCTAACAAGCAAGACAAGGAGCGCAGACCAAAGTAAAAGAAGTAACAAGGAGAGAGAGAGAGAGAGAGAGAGAGAGAGAGAGAGAGAGAGAGAGAGAGAGAGGACGGTTAGAGGATAGAGTGGAGAAAATATGGAGGCTGGGCTTACATAAGATCAATAATGAGTTCGTAGGCTGCTGTCGGGCCGTACCCGGGGACCGGTCACTCCATAACATGTGCTTTACGCTCGCGTGACTTTGTCTGGTTAGGTCCCCCTTTCTCATGCATGGTCGATCATGACCATTGATTCTTTTCCTTCTTTTCCTGTGTTGTTTCGTGAGGCGCCTTCGGGAATCTAAGCACGACTCCCACTTGAAAGTCAATCTTAGCTGTTGATCACTCCGCACGTTAGCAATTTGCCAAAAACACGGCAAGCATATCCGGTGTGAAGTGCTCAGCTAATTAGATGGATCAGCAAACTTCTTTCCCGGTGTCGTTTCGCGATGGGATCATTTAAGCACGCCTTCGGGATTCAACCATCCCAAATGCAATAGATAAATAGTCATTCAACGAAAAAACCATTTCCTTGTTTTATTGGTTAGATGAAATATCAGTTAAATGAGGTGAGGAACGATGTTTCGTCCGCGAGATATAATCATCGGTATTCAAAAACGATAGTCGATATTTAAAAATTAAAGCGATTGACGCGGATCGTCGCGTGCGTCGTCATTCTCTAGTAACGAGATAAAAGCATTGACGTGGGTCAAACTTAATGCAAGAGCATTAATAAAAAAAAATAATCCGTATTTAAATGCACGTTCTGTAACAAATCATGGGCAGTGTTTCACCTCATGTTCTATCTCCAATGGTCTCCTCATGTGACTCATGTGACTCGAGAACATAGTCCTGTTGGAAATTGGCGATCCATTTTCGACAAAATCTAGAAACACATCTTCTTCCTCAAGAATTAGCCATATGAGAGCAGCAAAGTTTCCGCCGGCTGACGACGTCAAAGAAGAATTCAATAACGTGAGCAGCAAGGTGGGAAAGCAAGCATGAACGTAGCCGATTGGGGTTTTCTACGGGGGTTCGAAGTGTTTGAAAAGTCTTCAAAACCCAGGGGACCAGGGGTTTCTTAAGCGGGTGGAAGTGATCCCTCAGGTTTGAAGATACCTGATCTCTAGGCGTCCATCGCTAAACGCATTTACTGAATCGCTGATGTGTATCGATTTGACGCTTTGAGTTCGATTTGGAAAAATTCTATACAACCATAGATTGGCTGTTAGTGGGGGCGGCTCATGTTCGCCCAGGCGAGGGCGACCCTCACCCAATCGGCAAGATATAGGTGTTCACCCAGACGAGGGCGACCCTCACCCAATCCGCAAGATGCAGATGTCCTTCACTCGATGCCAGCGATGAGGCTCGGCGGTGGGGAGAAAAAGGAAAAAAGAAAAGAAAAGAAAAGAATAAATAAGGGGAAAAAAAAAAGAAGGAAAAGTGAAGAAAAGGAAAAATTAATAAAAAATTTGGAAAATATCAAAATATTATTAAAAATTATTTATTAGAGCCGGCGATGCCACATAGGATAGCCCTCCCCTTCTCTTAAGATTTCAGCCAAGCATGTGTGTAACGGGCTGGCCGAATTTCTCCAATTGTGGATTCAATTGATGATATGTTTGATCCATTTTGGGCCTTCTCTGATTAAACTCAAAACCTTTTAACTTTATGAGTTAAACTTAACTTAATTAAAGCTCAAAACCCTATCTTATGAGCTTGAAATTTTCGGCCATTACAGCTCCTATCTTGGCCAAATCTTGCTTGCAGTGTAGGTCCAGTCCACGTGATCGATTTAGGTCTATTTACCACCGTCGAGTTAATGCAAATGCAATTAGTGAACTAAATAATAGTGAATGCTCCTAGAAACTATATGTTATGTAATTTAATTGTATTATTTTTGTTTAGGGCTTAAAGATTTAGTCCTTAATTTTCTCTGTAATTAAATCCTAAATGATTAGCCAAAAATGTAAGTGTCAACAATTATCCCAACTAAAAAGATAGATGGAAATGATCCAATTGAGCATGCCAAGGTGATGGTAACACATAGTATAGGTTAATGTACACAAGATTACAGTGCGCACACATGTTTGTGTCTATCGGGCCCCACTTGAGGGGAGAGGGGGTGAAACGTTTGGGTCTGGAAGTAAAAATTAGGGTTAATATTATGCAAATTCTCAAATTTGTACACTTACGATAAATTTACCTTAAACTAAGATCATGAAAAATCCTAAACTGATACACCCGTGACAAGTTTATCCCAAACTAATTTTTTGACCACAAAAAATCTCAAACTAGTACACCTGTGATAAATTTATCCCAAACTAATTTTTTTACCACAAAAAACTCAAAACTGGTACATTTGTGATAAATTTACCCTTTGTTAACGGACTGGTTTGGGATTTTTCGTGGTATTTAAAATCCATGGACTTGCCACGTCACCATACCACGTCACCATGTGTCATCCACGTCAGTAAATTTAACTATAAAATTTAACGAAAACTAACGGAGGGTACATTTGTTACAGGTGTACTAGTTTGGGGTTTTTGGTGGTCAAAAAATTAGTTCGGAGTAAATTTGCCACGAGTATACCCGTTTGAGGATTTTCATCGTCAAAAAATTAGTTTGGGACAAATTTGCCATAAGTGTATCAATTTGGGATTTTTCAAGGTATTAACCCTAAAAATTAATTAATCGGGTCGATGGCAGTTGGGGCAAATCCGTTTTCCTGGAACTTTCCATGGACTTAGCACGTCAAACAAAAAACGAGGCCTTTTCGAACAAAAAAAAAAAACGAGGCCTACAATCTCAATCTCACCATGACTAAAAAATAAAGGGATTTGCTCAATAGAAATCCTAAAACTTGTCGCGAAAGTACAACTGAGTTCTAAAACTTACAAAAAGTATAATCAAGTTTTAAAACTTATCAAATTTGTTCGATTAAGTCCTAAAGTTAACACCGTCCAATTTGGCTAACAGAAAATGCTGACGTGATTTTTTTTTTATTTTTTCTATCCTATGCGGCGATGACGTGACTTTTTTTGTTATTATTTTTAATACTAATTTTATTTAAATTAAATTTTAAAAATAAACTAAAGAAAAAGAAGATAAAAAAGGGAGGAGGAGGACAAGCCGTCCCCGTGTGTGAATGCAAGAACACTTTCCTAGACCAACTGGCCTATTAAAGTCGGCACTCAACGCCCGCTTCGCTTCTATCACAACCCCTCCCACTTCACTCTCTCTCTCTCTCTCTCTGCTCTATTAATACGAAGTGAGGTCGTCGTCCGGGGAGACCAAGGGCGTTCTCCAATTTTATTGCCAGCTAGTGCCCCCCGCCGGCGAAGAAGGCGGTTGAGCCAGCCACGGGTTATCCAGCTGCAAGGACGCTGCCTGCCTCAAATTCGGCTGCCGCGTACCGCCACCACTGCCTGAGGTAGCGCCGCTGTGGTGGGGATATCCGATGGAGGGATATCCACCGATGGGATATCGGCCCAACAATTATGGTTATCTGCCGCCTGCAGGATCTCCAGCTCCAGCGGCGCTACCTGCCATGTACCCACCACCAATGGCCGGGGCAGCGCCGTACACTCAGACGGTATATCCACCGAGCGCCGCGCCCCCATATGGTCATCTGCAGCTGTCAAACGGGCATCCCCCAGCAGGGCATGGGTATGCAGCCCCACCGCTCCATGCTGGTGGGAACTTCAGGCAGACGGCATGTCCACCGAGCGCCGCGCCCCCATATGGTCATCTGCAGCCGGCAAACGGGCATCCCCCAGCAGGGTATGGGTATGCAGCCCCACCGCTCCATGCCGGTGGGAACTTCATGCAGACGGCATGTCCGCCATACGCCGCGCCCCCATATGGTCATCTGCAGCCGGCAAACGGGCATCCCCCAGCAGGGTATGGGTACGCAGCCCCACCTCCCCATGCCGGTGGGAACTTCACGCAGACGGCATATCCGCCGTACGCCGCGCCCACATATGGTTATCCGCCGCCGGCAAACGTGCATCCCCCAGCAAGACACGGGCACGCAGGCAGGAAGTTCCTGGAGATGGCGATAAACGGGGTCAACATAGCCGCGATGGCGGGTGCGTTGGCATCAAGTATTGACTACTGAAACGATGACGGGATTCTGTCGATGCTTGGGATTTCTTGATTGGGATACGAGTTTTCTTGTTCTACTTCAGCTGGTTGTGATATGTAATAGAGTCAGTTACAGGTCGTCGGATTCGTAGTTGGTCGCGCATGTATTTGTTTCGGCTTGGTGCGTAATTTGGTTTGAGTTCGGTGTCGATTTGTTGAATTTGGGTTTGTTTGAAGAATATTTGTCAGATTTCTTATTGTGCTTAAATTAAGATGAGATCCATGTTGTTGAACGATTTGGACGGTAAATCTTTTACTCTGAGGAAGTATGTTGGGGTGACCTATTGGCCTTATTTTTTTTGTTTTTTTCTCTTAAGTTATTTAGAACCGTGCAGGATAGGTTTTTTCCACTAAAAAATAATAATTTCTTCAACGCTATCTTTTGCCCTATCATTTGCCTGGTCACTTTGCCACCAGAGAAATCTATTTGTTAAGCGGCTTAGGACTACTTAGAACGCGAGACCACTTGTTGTAACATCTAGTTTGGTCTTTGGTAAATCACATTGAAAATGAATATTAGTGAGAATATTTATCTTTTAATATTTGATAGTTCCACGTTTGGGGCTTCAGATAGATCGACTAATATATGTACTGATCTTATTGTGGCTGAAGGGGGATTAACTCAATCAAAGGCTGATTTTAAAGGGGCCTAAAAAGAAATGTTCAACTCACCACTGAACAATTCAGTGCACGCAAATCACGCAAATTGTTTATCTATAAATTTCACGAAACCCCCCCGCTCTTGGGGATGTCCTCAACGTCGAGGAACATGTATTAGGGTGTATGTACAGCTTGTTCAGATCATCATTGGTAAAAGAAATATGCGTGTGTATGTATATCAGAAAGTTTATTTGCATAGGATGTCCGGACAGTACGACGAGTGTCATGAGACGCCGATTTTATGGTAAATGTAACGAGCTCGAAAAGAGAGGGTAGGTGTTTAATACTCGATTTCATATAGCTCATGCTATACTTTAGGGGTTGTCCTATGGACCGCGGACGCTACCCGGGCGGCTGTACTCCCGCACACGCTTTGCTTGGGGCTTTTGACGAGGATTGCAATTTAGCAGATTAAATTAATAAGTTATACAACAACGTGTCGACAATTGCTCGTGGGTTGTGAGGGTTAAGACTATCTCAAGTTGGTTATCATAACCAACCTCATAATGAAGAGTTTTCTGAGGAGAGGAAGCAAAAGTTCGAGGGACCATTTGTGAGTACGAGCAAAACTATCACGGGTCCACTGCACAGGCGAGATTTACGACATGAAAGAAAAACAACTCATTCCATAGGAGGAAATTTAAAAAAAAAAATTTAAATGAATAAATAATGAGAAGCAAGAAAGAGATTTACGGGAATCTTGAGATTTCAGAGCTGGGTTAGTGTGACAACTGAGAAAAGCATTCCGTCATACGTCTTCCACGTTTGAGGTTATTAGAACGCGGGTTGTGGTTATACGGTAAACGCATTGCATGACTCGCTGATTTTACGCGCTATTAATTTAACCCGCTTCGACCAAAAAAAGTAAAAAAAAATTAACCGACTTGCTTTGCTTGGAGCTGATTTTCTCTCGTATGGTCAGTCATCTAGAAGCCCTCGTCCAGAGTTTGGATTAGTTAAATCACTGGCCAGTGGTGTTTCTAGACGATAGTACTGATTTTCTCTTCTTATAGTCCATCTGGAAACTTGTCCTCGTCACTTCCCTCCACGCATCGTCTTCATCAGTTCCGCGTCGGTCTCGCGTGCATAAACTCGATAACATTTATGGTTAATATCACGAGAAATCTTAAATTGATATATTTATAATAAATTTACTTCAAATTAATTTTTTAATCATCAAAAATCTCAAACTGATACACTCATGACAATTTTACTCTATACTAATTTTCGTTAAATTTTATCATCAAATTTTGAGTTAAATGATATGTAACAATTGACGGATGTACCAGTTTGGAGTTTACCCTCCGTTTGTCACAGATATACCAGTTTGTGATTTTTCGTGGTATTAATCCAATTTAATGGAGGGTAAATTTGTCACAAATATACCAGTTTGAGATTTTTTAGGGTATTAACCCTAACGACTTATAGAAAATCGTCCAACCAGGCTTTTCAAGCTTTAGCTATTAATTTACGTTCATCAAAATTTAGTTTGGTGCTCGTCCATCACCGCACATGCGTGATGACCTCCGTGGCCATCGAACGCGGCAAAGAAGTGAACCGGTCACTGCCAGTTTAGCTCCGGCCGGCAAAGTCTCGTCATCACAGATATCACGTCCTCCGTCTCACGCCGCATGGTGCGGTCTTATAGTGAGACTCTGTTACATAGAGCAGCACTGTCTGGACATGTGAAATTCGTTGAAGAGATTCTGGATCGAAAACTCGAGCTTAAAACAAGCTATTCATTCACGAATCATAAAAATTGGGTTCAACTATAGAGCTCTTGCATCAGGCTGCAAGGGCTCGAGTCGGATCCGAACCGGTTTGTACTAACCAGTTGAACGTAAAAATTTGCCCCTTTAAAGGTTTTTTCACACGACAACCAATGTAGTAAGAGAGACAGAAGACAAGGTTGTCGTGTGAACCAAGTGTTTCCTCACTTATCAATCCCTACTTTTTAAATTAAGTTTATTCAAACGAAAAAAATATTTAAAAAAACATGATATTAGTTAGAGAGACATAAGGAAGGGGAGAGAATATTGGTTTTTTTTTCTTTGTAAGAAATCATTTTCATTCTACAAATAATCTTTATTTAAAAAAATGAGCACATTATCGTTTCGTGTAATATAATTTTCCTGGGAAAATTAAGGAGCAGCCATATAATAACACGTTGCACGTCTTTCTCTTGGGAAAAGTGTTAGAAAAGTCATAAGCCTTTTGCATTTTTGCCAATTTAGTCTTAAACACTTTGTCTTTGTGCCAATTCAGTCATTTCTGCTAATTTTGGCTAGATATTGCTGACGTAGATAATTTTTAATAATATTTTAATAAATTTCGAATTTTTAATTATTTTTTCTAATTTTTTTGTTTCTTCCTTCTTTTGTTTTTTTGTTTTTACCTTTCTTCTACCTTTGGCCGATGATTTGTCCACGTCAGCACTAGTGGTGCCACGTAGGCCGGTCGGCATCCACGTCAGAAATATCCGGCCAAAATTAACCGGAAGGACTAAATTGGCATAAAGACAAAAAGCTTAGGACTAAATTGGCACAAGAAAAAAGGTTTATGACTAAATTGGCACTAATGCAAAAAATTTAGGGCTTTTCTAACATTTTTTCCTCTTTCTCTCTCCCCTTCGTTTCCAAAAGAGTCGGGACCTGTTTGGTAACTAGTTTATTTCTTTGTTCTTTTGTTCCTCGGAATAGAAAAAAAAAACAGAAATCGATTTATGTACATCAATTAATTTGTCTAATCCCCGGAATGGCTAGGAAATATATTTGGAACAGAAACAAGAAGTAAAAAAAATCTACTTTTTTGTTCACAGAAACAAAAAGAGAAATAAGGTCATTTAGATAAACAAGCTCAGTGTAACCTAGTGCTCATCTTTACACAATTGACACAAACTCAACGTAAACCATAAACCATAAACCCTAAACCCTAAACAAGTGGAGATTGCAAATGATACATCGCATGAGGAGGCAGTTAAGGTAAACATCTTTAGGAAAAATATTGCAAATTAAAAATGGCAAGGGATCACAATATGCCTAAGATTCCAAGACTTTGTGTTTCTGACTTTTGTAATGTTGTTTTTAAATACTTTGCAACATTTATGTTAATCGTATTAACGTCATCCAATTCTATATCTTAATATATTCTGATTCTATTTCTTTGGCCGTGACACTCTCTCATAATGAGCCAATGACGGTATATTGTTTTAAATTTAAAAAGTACGATTTTAGGATTCCAATTCTACCTTCCTCTTTCAAGAACTTCAAATAATCAACTATAATTGGGACGTGAATGTTGAAGTGCTTAAAAAATACCAGAGAAGTGGTCTTTTTCAAAAACTTTCAGCAGATAAATTAAGCTATTGAAGACATATGCTAGAGTTTATGACGTAAGTATGGACTTTACTAATTGGAATCGATTAATGCTATTACCATTTGTCTTGTGTTCATAGCAGTCGAATAAGCATGTGCTCCATGGATTTCCGATGTCATTTGCTTGAAGGTTTGATGAGTTTGTGCAAATAAGCACACCAACTTTGGGATCGCCTCCATCCTCAGTTGTTTCGTTCTTACCCATTCCACCAAGCAACGTTTGCTCTTCTTCTTGCAGCTAAAAAAGCTCAAAAGGTCTATGTACCTGATTATTGTAACGTACAAAGAATTACTGTCAACCTCCTCATATGGTGAGTTATAAACTAGTGGAACTCTCTACTGCCATTTTCAGCCATCCATCTTTGACTCACTATTATGTTGAATTTTCTGAGACCATCTTATAATATATTGATCAGTTAAGTCATTACAAAAGTCTAGTTTTATATAAACATGAATTGTTAAGTCCTCCAATGACATTTTTATAATTAAATGAAAAAAAATTAGGAATAGAAATTTTTAGGGTCATACCAAAAAAAATTGATTTCTGTTTCGGGAAATAGAAATTTGTGTTGTTATCAAACGGGTTTCTGTTCCAAGAAATAGAAATTTTATACTGTTATCAAACAGATTTCTGTTTTAGGAATAGAAATTTTTTGTCGTTATCAAATAGGTTTCTTTTCTCAAAAACTCGTTCTGAGAACAGAAATAGAAAAACACAGATCTTTTTTTTGACAAAAAAAGAAACACAGATCTTTGTTTCTCTCATGGAAAATAGGTGGCCGAGGGTTCACTGTCTGTTTTCCAAGCTAATGGTACGGTTAGCAAATCATTTTCCTAATAATTTCTCTTTTTGGCGCTTTTGTTTTTGCCTTTTGGGTTAGAGAAAAAAAAATTCACTTTTTCACTTTTCAGTTAATGTGACCAAATCAATCTTTCCAAT